CCCTCTTTTCCTCCCTCCCTCTCTCTATCCCCCCCATTCCCCCCTCTCTAGTCAAATTAAAATAAGTAAATAAAATAAAATATAATAAAAAAGTAGATATTCTGAGCATAATAAAATATTTTTCCTTTAAACATGATTCCAAATAAGTTTATCTTTTTATTCAAGCATGTGCATAATGGATGCAGTTCTTCTCTTGGCTATTGTATTCAGCGTTTTTGTAATCAGGTGCTTCAGATTCTGTGGGTAGTCCACCCCAGTGTAGAATAGGGTCTCTGCTGCATGTCTCATAGAACTGGCATAACAAATTCTGAAACTGCATGCCATGGGACTACTGGGGGAAACAGCTTTTGCAGCTTCAACGTTAGGTTAGTGGAAAACAAGAAAATAGCAATAAGAATCATGCGGGTGCATTCATGCACCCACTGGTTAGTGACACGCACACACCTGAAGTCCTTGATCAAAAAAGCTCAATTCTGAGTCACAGCCAGAGTGAGGCTATGCAGAGGAGCCTTCAGTAGGGCTCGCCAGTCAGCCATCATGGTACTAGACTTCAGTGTCCATGTAGACACACACCCCACACCCCGGCAGCACCTTAGTGCCTCGATGCGCACTGAGCTGGTCTGCACTGACCGGCCTCTGTGTCAGGCTCTTCTCTGGCAAGAACATGACCAGCCGATGCAATCTTAGTTTCCACTGCTCTTCTTCATTTTGTGAGGCCATGTTTATTTCTCCTTTTGAAAAGTAAATAGGAGTCCAAGAATAGCCATTCTTTTCTTCCCCTTCAACTCAGCTGTCAGTCTATCTATAATAGACAACTGGGTATCTGAAAAAAAGTAGCTTTGAGAGAATTCCCTGATGGGCTTTTCCCCTCATTTAGCAGCGTCTGCACCTGAGCGTATCGGCAGGTGTTTTTACTAACAAAGAGTAATGGGACCCGGTGGTGGCACTGTGGACCCACATACCTCCAGATTCCTGTCCGTAGGCCCCTCTGATTATGCCAGGGGTGTGTGTGCCCAGGATCTGGACAAGCCCAGCTGGGAGTGTCACAGTATCAGGACCCTGTTGGGGTGTTACCTGTCTCATTTTGTCTCTCTCATTCATGGGAAGAGAAATAACCTGAGGAAAAAAAGAATAATGGATTCCTTCAATAGTTTATGTATTAGTTGTTAACGTAGAATTATGAGCTTTTTGGGGACCAGCAGATGGTGTGATGGTTACATCGCTGGACTCCCACATAGTTGACTGCAGTTCAAGTCCCAGACCTGGCAACTTAAAACTCATGCCAGGCACCTGTACATGTGTGCCCACAGTCCCAAGAAGAGAATGGAGGAGAAGGGACTATGGTGTGGCCTTTCTCCCTGGGGGTGATTTCTTGCTTTCTGACTCAGTATCTTTCTGTCTCTCCGGTGAGCACAGGTGCCCCATAGCAAAAAAAAAAAAAAAAAACTCTCAAAAAAAATAGTGAAATCATGAACTTGTTTTTAAAGTTTAGCTATAGGGTGTGTGCACTCATTGGAGAGAGACAAACAAAAAGAGAAAGAAAGTGAGAAATCACCCTCCCAAGCGGGTGGTGGCTACTCCACATTCCCGTCTCCTCCGTTCTCCTCTCTGGATTTTGGGCATGGACACACATGCACCTGGCATATTTTCAAGCTGCTGGGTCTGGGACTTCGAATGGTGAAGTTGGCTAAGTGGGATCCAGCTGCCTTAACTGCCCTGTCACCTGCTGGCTCAGAATCATGAATATTTTAATTTCTTAATTTCTTCTTAGATCCTGATGATGATGGAGAGAGAAGTGTATCATCCTTGCTGTGCATGTCAGGGCCATAGATTATGAGGTGGACTCACAGAATGACCCTTGGCCTCCTTGTGCGTAACACCTGGCTGGGTCTTTGTATAGGCCCATGTGTTAGCCGCACAGTGGCCCGCGCAGGTGAGGCGGGAAACACCAGGGCCCTGCGCTCTGTCTGTGTGTGGAGCACTGACCTCGGGCGTGCCGCCTTTACCCAGCTACTGATTCACACGTGATTCCATTTGTAGCAGCTGACTAAGTCAAAGAAAAGTGGATGCTTTTGTCTGCGATGGACTCTTCACAGTGTTAGGTTCCTACTGACTCTGGAACACTGGAGCCCATTTCTGGCATTTTCATGTCCCCTATCTGATTATATCTTTGCTAGAGGGTGAGAATTCAAGCCTTAGCGCATTCACAGTACCCTACTCTAAATTTACCAATCTCTTAGCTTAGCTCGTTTGCTCTGCTTGTGGAATTCTCAACTCTGGAGAGGGAATGAGGCAGGCACTTTGAGAGCTTGTACTAAATTGATCAATGTAAGAAGCTAGCCAAAGGTTGGAGCCAGTGTTCTTTTGTAGTTCCTTTCTTGGCAAGAATTTCTGTCTATGCCTAAATACATTTCATAAAAGCCCATGCTTACATATCATGCATTTACTGATCAATGAGCCAGTCTTTACTGAAGACCTGATGTGTTCCAGATATGAAAACACAAAGCTAGGGTGGAGGGGCAGGGTCCGTGTCAACTTATTGGAGACAGCATAGAACCAATAATTACGTGTGGTTGGGACTAGTGTTACAACGCATTGATAGATGGAAGAGTGAACAGTCGTGTAATAAATGTGTAGTGGGGGAAGCATGGAGGAGTGTGTTAATATTTAATATATGCATTTATGTATGGGTGGAATATGGACAGTGATCCCATTATTCTCATGGGAGTAACAGCAAGTAACTTCTCTCAAAGAGCGCTTTTTTTTTGCTTTTTGGAAACCATGCAGGAAGCCAGATAGTTCTGGTGTTTGCTCAGGAGTAGTCTATGACTGTACCCTGCTTCGTTTTCGCCGTGGAACTTATTGCCATCCTTACAATTTATATGTGCTCACTGACTCACTCACCCTCTCACCCATATACCTTACTAGAATGTAAGCTTCGCAGAGGCGGAGATTTTGGTCTCCTTATCTTATTTCTGTACCTTTAGCACCTGGAAATGTATTTGACTCATAGCAGGAACTCTGACTTAAGGAACTAACTTTGTGAGTTCTAGAATAGTTGGCTTAGTTTTTTTAAATTTAATTTTATTTATGTATTTATTTATTTTAATTTGACTGGAGAGAGAGAGAGAGAGAAAGCAAGCCACCAGGTCCGGGACTTGAACCACGGTCAGTCATGTGGGAGTCCAGCATCCTTAACCACCATGCCACCTGCCGGCTCCAATAATTGGCTTACTTATAATTTTCATTTGGCTTAAGAATAGCTCTCTAGAGTTCCCTGACAGATTTACTTAATGTTTTTCATTGTGTATACTTGAATCTCCCTAGTGATAACCTGCTATTTTTACAGTTTTTCAAGTCTATCTCTCATTTTCCATATCTCTTTGTTTAGTTCCATAATCTCTTAGCTTAACTAATATTGCCTCCTAATTGTTTCCTATGTCTGTATGCAGATCTCCTTAAATTTCTCCTCTATAGCTGTTAGAATTATTTACCTAAAACGTACAACTGACTCGACATTTCTGTGCTTGAAAGTCTCTTAATTGGTGGCTATCCTGGTGGCCTGGTGAGTAAGGAAGTTGGATCCCACACGGCCAAGCACAGTTTGTATTCTGGCCTGGTGGCACACGGACCATGCACATGCCGCGTGCATGTCCAAAACCCTGACTGGATCGAGAATGGAGGAAAGGGGATTACTGTGTGGCCATGCCTCACTGGGGGTGCTTTCTCCCTCCCTGTCTCTCTCTCTCTCTCTGGCTAGCTCACACATCCTCTGGCAATGAAAAAGAAAGAAAATTCTTGATCGTGAGAGCCAGATGGTGGTGCGGTGGTCACATACATCCTTCTGCAAGGCAGTCCCTCATAGGCGGGTATCTGGTCAAGTCTGGAACCCCCCTGAGTGCAGTAGGCTCACGCTTGCCCTCGATAGGCCGCGAGTGGATCACTGCATCAAGGCCCTGCTGGGTTTTTTCTCTCTCACTGTCCGTTTCATCCATGGAAGAAAGAAATAAACTTAGAGGGATTCTCATCCCTCTCACATAAGATCTGCATTTGTTAGGATGGTGCAAACGACCAGCAGAGCTTGGCTTCAGCCACTTAGTCGGGGGTTCCCACAACGTCTCACGGTGTAATAGTAATGGGCCTGTTCGTTTTCTCTGTACCGCTCGTGCCTGGCACAAAACAGTGAAGTCAATCAATGTCCGGGGAAATGGATACGTACAAGCGTGTATGAGGGAGGAAACGGAAACCAGAACGCTCATTGCACATGCTTGCTGTGGCGATAAAAGACGATGTAAACGTATAACTGGATACTGCATTTAAGAATCATTTTCCCGTTACACAACCTGTTTGTCTTTCTCACTAGCTGGCCCTTCTGTTGTCTGTCCTCCCTCTATTTGTTATTTACCGTTACTTAAAAAGTCATCGTATTCCCCTGGCTTCTTTCTCTACCGTTCTTCCCACTTCCATTTCTGTAGTGGATCTTTTTTCTTTTTTTCTTTTTCTTTTCGGAGAGGTTTTCGCTATAGGGCGCGTGCGCTCACCAGACAGGCAGAGAGAGAGACAGAGAGACAGAAAGCGAGAAATCACCCCCCAGGGGAGATGGCCACGCCGCAATCCCTTCTCCTCCATTCTCCTCTCGGGATCTTGGGCACGCACGCACACGTGCCTGGCGTGAGTTTTAAGCCACTGGGTCCGGGGTGTGAACCACGGTCAACTACGTGGGAGTCCAGCGACATAGCCATTACGCCAACTGCTGGTCCCATTTCTGTAGTGGATCTTTTCTCCAAGCTGTCTTACTTGATTAGAAATGTGCACGTGTGTGTTCATATTCACGTCCGTACCTTTTCTCTTTTTTTAATAAATCTTGAGTGTAAGGTTTTGTACCTAATTCTGAACTCTCAGGATTATATTATTTCTGTAGAGCATATACCATGATTTTTATTGTGCCTGTTTGTATTTTTCTTACTGTCCTTTTCCCTTCAATGTTTATTCACACTCAGATCGAAAACCTTCAAGAACAGCTACGAGATAAGGAGAAGCAGATGAGCAGCTTGAAGGAGCGCGTGAAGTCCCTGCAGGCTGACACCACCAACACTGACACGGCCTTGACCACGCTGGAGGAGGCGCTTGCAGAGAAGGTGCGTGGCCGCCCCGTTCTCCCCGGGTGCATCCCTTCTGCTGTCCTGTTTCTCCAAAACTGGGTGGAGAGCACAGGCAGGCCCCCTGGGGAAGGGCGGAGAGCCCCTCTGTGCTCTGGCTGACACGCACAGCACAGAGGGGTAGGAAAAGTCTGTTAAGTTGTCACTTTAAGCATTTCTGCTGAGCAAGATGGATCCCACACTAGAAGGCGGTGGCTGAATTTTCTAAGGAGTCTTCCATGCGTTCCCCAGTTACTGTCTTCTGAAGAATTCGGGGATGTGGGAATCCAGACACTGAGCATCAGGAGACAGTCGTCCTCTTCTACTGTCCTGCTTTGGTACCTCACACATTTGTGAATTTTAGTTATTAATATAATGTAGTAATAGTATATTACACCAGTATACTTAATGCAGTTTTCTAGTCTTTGTGCTGCTACTTTATTTACTGTCAGGAGCAAACCCAGTTTTTCAAGAATGGTTAACTAAAATAGTCCAACCTAACCAGTATATATATGTGTGTGTGTATGTGTATACGTGTATTTATATATAGGTATATGTATTTTTTAGTTTTTGCTTTTGGCCACATGTACTTGTTAGAGAGAGAAAGGGAAGGAAAGTGAGAAATCACCCTCCTGGGGATGGCCACTTGCAATCCGTTTCCTTTATTCTCCTCTTGGAAGAGGAGGCCTTCATGGGCCACCTGCTGGCCCTAGTATTAATCTTTTTCTTTTCTTTTTTCTTTTTTTTTTTTTTAAGAGGCTTTTGTATAGGGCGTGTGTGCTCACCAGAAAGACAGAGAGAGACAGAGAGCTAGAAAGTGAGAAATCACCTTCTCCTCTGTTCTCCTCTCGGGATCTTGGGCACGCACACACACGTGCCTGGCGTGAGTTTAAGCCACTGGGTCCGGGACTTGAACTGCGGTTGACTACATGGGAGTTCAGCGACATAGCCATTACGCTAACTGCTGGTCCCCTTAGTATTAATCTTTTACAAGGAAGTTTAGAGAATCTCTTTGGGACATTTTAATCCTTTTTTTTTTTTTTTTTTGGAAAGGGATAGAATCACTTGCTCCTTAAATCTCTTGGATTCAGAATGCTTCAGACTGCCTGCCAAGATCAAACTTGATCCCTGAAAATATTAGGAAAAAAATACCCAGAAATATACTTAAATTCCTTTAACTTTTGAAGTTTGTGATTCTCCTTTGACAGAAGTTTTTTTCTTTTCTTTTCTTTTTTTGTTTTTAGAGAGAGAGAGGTTTTCACTATAGGACACATGCACTCACTAGAGAGACAGAAAGTGAGAAACCATCCACAAGGGGGGATGGCCAGACCACAATCACTTCTTCATTTTCCTCTCAAGGTTTTGGGCATGAACACACATGGGCGGTGTGAGTTTTAAGCTGCCAGTTCCAGGACTGGAACCATGGTTGACCTTGTGGGAGTCCAATGATGTAACCATTCTGCCATCTGCTGGTCCATACAGAATCATCATTATTATTATTACTTTGCTAAGTGCATGTGCTTGTCAGAGAGAGAGAAAGTGAGAATGCTGCAATCCCTTCTCCTCCATTCTCCTCCCGGGATTTTGGACATGCACGTATGTATGCCCAGCATGTTTCGGTCTGTGACTTGAGCTGTGCAGCTGGCTGTGCAGGATCCAGCGCCTTCACCACCATAGCACCTGCTGGCTCCGACCCTCCTTTATTCTCATCTCCACCTCCCTTTTCTTTCTTTGTCTGTTGTGTCAGTTGTGAGTGTCTTCATTGCCTTGTACGTAACATGAATTACATATAAAGCACAAATACAGGGACCAGCAGATGGCGCAATGGCTATGTTGCTGGATTCCCATGTAGTTGACTGCGGTTCGAGTCCCGGACCCAGTAGCTTAAACTCACACTAGGCACATGTGCGTGTGTGCCCAAGATTCTAAGAGGAGAATGGAGGAGAAGGAATTGCGGCGTGGCCATCCCCCCTGGGGGGTGATTTCTTGCTTTCTCTCTCTCTTTCTCTGTCTTTCTGGTGAGTGCACGTCCCCTATAGCAAAAACCTCTCCAAAAAAAAGGAACAACTACAGATATTTGTTAGTTACTGTCATTAGTGTGTATATATAAGTTTTTAGTTATTTGAGAGTTGAATTTAATGGTAATATTCCAAAAGAAAACTTTAGTGATATCTAACACTAGTTGTGATTATAGGAAAAGAAACTTTGGGATCCAAAAGGACATAGCCCGATTTTTGTTATAGCAAGTTAAGTAGAAGGATTCAGTTTTTAAAAGGTGAATTTCTTAAAGTGTGTCACTGTCTTTTGAATAGAGGATAGAAGTATGGACATTTCCAAGATAAAGGTAGAAGTCAGTCTTCCCAAAGGAACTTCACATATTGATGTGTTCTCTTATCAGGAGCGGACAATCGAGCGCTTAAAGGAGCAGCGGGACAGAGATGAACGAGAGAAGCAAGAGGAAATTGATAACTACAAAAAAGATCTTAAAGACCTGAAAGAAAAAGTCAGCCTATTGCAAGGCGACCTCTCTGAGAAAGAGGTTAAGATCACCAAAATGGAATTATCTGGTGTGGATACCCAGTTTTTCCAGCACTGTCACTGTCTTTTGAATAGAGGATAGAAGTATGGACATTTCCAAGATAAAGGCAGAAGTCAGTCTTCCCAAAGGAACTTCACATATTGATGTGTTCTCTTATCAGGAGCGGACAATCGAGCGCTTAAAGGAGCAGCGGGACAGAGATGAACGAGAGAAGCAAGAGGAAATTGATAACTACAAAAAAGATCTTAAAGACCTGAAAGAAAAAGTCAGCCTATTGCAAGGCGACCTCTCTGAGAAAGAGGTTAAGATCACCAAAATGGAATTATCTGGTTTGCTTGGTCATTGCATGTTTGTAGATGTCATTGTTATTTATGTAATGCATATAAAAAAGTATTTAATGGAAGATTTTTCTTAAAGTTCTTTTTTCTTTTAGTTTTTTTTTTTGCCACAGGGGATATATGCTTACCAGAGAGGGAGAGTGAGAAATTGCACCCTGGGGGATGACCATGCCACAATTTCATCTCTTCCTGGGATTATGGGCAGCCATACATACATGCCCCTCATGATTTTCCAGCTGGCAGGTCTGGGACTCAGATAGGTGTGGCCATGTGGGAGTCCAGCACCTTAACCACTATGCCACCTGCTGGCCCTGTTAATGTTCTTCTAGCAGGTCTGTGAATACTGGTAAGGGTAATTCAGAAAGCTTTATGGAGACACGATAGACTCATTCATAATTTGCTAATTCTTTCCTCTTTTACTGTTTCTGTGTTGGTTTTTACTTCTTAATGGCATTACTGTAGATCCTAAGATATCAAGTATATTTGGAGAAATGTGCTTAAGGTAAGGAGAGTGACAAACAGCAGGAGTATGCAGAAGGACAATTTATTGATAACAGCCACTAACATAATTAACAGCTGTTAAGTTAGGGGACTTAATGTAATTTTGATCTTGCTTTTAGAGAATACTGTTACTATGCCCTAAAGAGCAAAAATGCCTGATGCAGTGTGATCAGATAATGCATGAGGCTTGGGGCCTTTTTTTTTTTGGATTTATTTTAGGAAAATGTATGGAAATTCAAGTTCCTGACACAGAGGCCAGCAGGTAGTGTGGTGGCAAAGTCTCTGGACTCCCACGTGGCCAACCTCAGTCAGAGTCCTAGATCAGGTGGGGCAGGTGTGTGCATGCCCAAAATCTTGACAGGAAAATAGAGAAGGGATTGTGGCAAGACTGTTCCCCCTTCCTCCCCCACCCCCTGAGGTGATTTCTTGCTGTAAGTCTCTCTGGTGAGTGCATGTGCCATATGGCAAAAATCTCTCCGAAAAAAAAAGTTCCTGAGGTTGCTTTTCTTCTGAAAAGGAAAAATATTTTATATCTAAGATAATTGAGCTACTAGCATCGGCTCTTTACACTCTCACAGCCTGGTCTGCTTTCTTTTTTTTTTTGTGGATATGTGTTGCTAGGATTCTTGAAGTCACTGTTCAATAGACGTTTCTTGGGAAATCCCTCTCATTTTAGTTAGGGCTTAAAGCTACAGCTAGTATTTTGTATTTTAAGTGTTGTTAAATGGAAACATAATAGTATTTTGTAATGAAATGAAACAGTAAGTCATATTAATCATAAAATAAAATGTTAAATCTCCCGTTTTGTTTACAGTCAGTATTTATTCTGGGTGTGTGTTGCTTCTTCTAGGCTTCACTCTTGGATTTGAAAGAACACGCTTCTTCTCTGGCTTCCTCAGGCTTGAAAAAAGACTCGAGGCTTAAGACCCTAGAAATTGCTTTGGAGCAGAAGAAGGAAGAGTGTCTAAAGATGGAATCTCAATTGAAAAAGGTGAAGAAAAGTTTTCCCACTTTCTTGCTTTGCTTTAAATAAAAAATAGTAGGTAATTCTAGGGGGATCATATGAAATAACTCCCCCATGGAGCAATAATCCTCCAGGGTTCAAAATGGCGTCTGTGCCTCAGGGAATTCTTTCAGCACCCTTCCCCTAGTACATGTCGGTCGTGAGAATGCTCACAGTGCTGGGGAGTGGACTGTCAGAGGAAGAGGAAACACGCGGTTCCTGGTCTGGCCCCACAGTGCAGCCACTACCCCACACGGACACTGGGAGCACGGGGAGCCGGAGCCCACGTGAACAGCCATGGTTGAATGCCCATCGGCATGTGTGTGCGCTGTGTCCTGACGAGGCGGGAGACTTGAGGAGTAAGGATCGCTGTGTGGCCGGGCCCCGTTGGGAGGTGCTCCCTGACTCCCTTTGTCTGGCAAGAGCATGTGCCATCTGGCTTTAGGAAAAAAAGAAAGCAGCTTCCTTACAGTGAAGTGTGAGATCACAGGGTAAAATCCGAATGACCTGATGTTTCCCTTTTACTAGAATCAGGCACCATTCCTAAAAGGAGATAATATAGCAATAATAGTCACCCATACTGGTAAATATTAGGCTGTGGAGTGAATATTTAAATATTTTGCAGTCCTTTTTTTTAGCTTTATGTTTTGTTTGCAGTAGGAAATAGCTAGTCTTGAGGCAATGAAGGTTGAAGTAATTTTTTTTTTTAATTTTGTAATCAGTATATTAAGGAGACATTCATACATTTCAAGAATTCTTTGAATTCTGTTCATCTAGATTTAAGCATTTGAACACACAATGACTTTAAAACATACAGTTAAAGGGAACTGGCAGGTGGCGCTGGACTCCCACATGGCTGACCATGGTTTGAGTCCCGGACCTGGTGGCTTGGTTTCTCACTTTCCCTCCCTCCCCCTCTTCCTCCCTCCCTCTCTCCCTCTCTCTTTCACTCTTCCCCTCTGTCCCTCTGTGCTCAAATTAAAAATAAATAAATAAAGTTAAATAAAATAAGAAAAAAAAATACAGTTAAAGTTATTCATCATAATCTGCCATCCTACCAACATCAAATTACAGTTACTTTGGAGCATAAGTTAAATGGTTTAAAGTAAACCTGTAATACCTACTAAACACCTTTCTATTTCACACATGCAAATTACTTCTCCCTGTAAAAGTCATTTCACTTTATAATTTGTCTGTTACCCAGCTCAGAAGTTAGTCCTCAGGGACTTTCCTGGTTCAGAGAGAAGGAGGTGTGGGAGTAACCAGGACTGGTTTATATATATACACACACACACACACATATATGTATGTATACACACACATATATACATACATACGTACACACAGCGGTACATATATGCATAGATATATTCTTTAAATGTACACACACATATGTATGTATACACACACATATACATACATACGTACACACACAGAGGTACATATGCATAGATATATTCTTTAAATGTACACACACATATGTATGTATACACACACATATATACATACATACGTACACACAGCGGTACATATGCATAGATAAATTCTTTAAATGTACATACACACATATGTATGTATACACACATATATACATACATACATACACACAGCGGTACATATGCATAGATATATTCTTTAAATGTATATACACACATATGTATGTATACACACATATATACATACATACATACACACAGTACATATGCATAGATATATTCTTTAAATGTACACACACACACACACACATATGTATACTTTTAAAAATAAGATGGCACAGCAGAAGGGAACCCTTCAAGGAGCAGCACATTATGATAAATCCCTTCTTTAGAAAAGTATTTCTTTTTTGGAGAGATCTTTGCTACAGGGTACGTATACTTACCAGAAAGACAGACAGAAACAGAGAGACAGAAAGCAAGAAATCACTCCCTAGGGGGATGGCCACGCTGCAATCCCTTCTCCTCCATTATCCTCTCGGGATCTTGGGCACGCATGCACACATGCCCGGTGTGAGTTTAAGCCACCGGGTCCATGCAATTCTAGAGGCATAAGCCCTCAAGAAGCAGCACATTATGATAAACCCCTTTAGAAAGGTATTTCTATCACTGATGCCACAGGCTAAGTTACATATTATGCCATCCATCTTCAAGTTGAGGCCGTAGAATAAACGCAGAGGCATCACAGTGAGTTCCACTCAATACGGGTAACTCCAGACCAACATACTTTCCTACAAATTGTTTTTTTTCCTTCTGATTTCCAGTTATGTACAGGATTTTAATTTCATGGTTTGACAGTGAGGGGTCATACACTGAAGTCAACACATGTATCTGGCATTTCAGTCTAAGCTCATGCATGTACACTGCTGAAGTCAGTGACAAGGAATGGTCTAACAAGTGCTAGGGGGAACTAGTTTTTACAGCTATTAAAGCTGTGTCTGCACACTGAAGTCATCATCCATACAGGGGAAAGTCAGAACTTTTATATTTGTGTTTATTCTTCATTTAACCTTTGAAACACTACTGTAGGGACCAGCAGTTGGCGTAATGGCTGTCGCTGGACTCCCATGAGACATGACCACGGTTCGAGTCCTGGACCCGGTGGCTTAAACTCACGCCAGGCGCGTGTGTGTGCATGCCCAAGATCCTGAGAGGAGAATGAAGAGAAGGGTTTGTGGCGTGGCCATCTCCCATGGGGGGTGATTTCTCACTGTCTGTCTGTCTCTGTCTTTCTCGCGAGTGCACGAGCAAAAGTCTCTCCAAAAAAACAACAAAACTCACTGCTGCATGTAAGATGCCAGCACTGAGTGTTACTGACTGGCTCTGTTAAGAGATTGACGGTGAACACCCCTCGGGGATGATGATCATTATCGTCATGTGCTTCTCCGCTGTAATGGCTCCGTCTTCCCTGATTTGGATCAAAGTTCACCAGTTCTCCCTGGTCC